TACTTGAGGGGGGGGGTCTGGGGAATGGGGCAGACAGCAGTGGGTGTTGTTGTCATCAACACACAGATACGTGTGTGCTAACATGACTTGGGGGCAGACAACTGAGTGCCACAGGACTTGTGAGAGGAAACAAGGGCAGGTGCATGCGTGTTACAAAGACGGGGGGTGGGGGTAAGGGTAGTCCTTTTGAATAGAGAGACCCCCAAACCAAACCTGTAGCCATGGGGCAGATTCCGACTCACAGTGACCCTACCTACGATTTCTGAGTCTGAAAATCTGTCTGAGAGCAGACAGACAGCCTTATCATTCTGCAGGGAGTGGAGGGTGGGTCTGAACCACTGGCCAACAGTCAGCAGTCCAACACGGCGCCAGCAGGGATCCGCACAGGAAGAGACAACTAGTGAATCTGGTGAAGGGTAAAATGGGTTGGCAGTTGAAAAATGACTTGTTTTAACACTAAACAAGGTTTTAGATCCGAATGGGTAAACATCAACAATCTCCTATGGCTGAATTATGAACTGAGGATTTTGAGGAACAGAGCGCTAAAAACAAAAACCCCCAAATCTAGGACTATGAAGCAGTGTGGGTCCATGTGAGCTGTTTGTTCTGGAATACATGGGAAAAGCCTGATTTATCAGGACTTGAAAGCAGCATTGGAAGAATGACCATTGTATGAGACGGTAGGGGGAAATTCGGCTTTGATAATTTGACAGCTCAAAATGAACATCTCGTTTCCCTTCATTCACTCTTGGTTTCCTTTGGCTAAAAGTCTCCTTTCTTTCTCACCCCCGGCCCTTACAAATCAAATGGGAAGGCTGCTGAGCGCTAACATGTTGGTCCTAAATATAACTGGAGCTAAACACAAAGATCTTTCTTACTGGACTGAAAAATCTTCAAGGTAGCTGTGATATGCTTCCAGCGATGTGCTGGGCTCCACTTATGTTTTCCAAAGGAGACGGGAGCTTGGCTGGGGTCGGGGGTAGGGGGTGGGAATGGGGAGAAGCTACAAAGGCCCCTCTGAGGCTCGGCATCAAGGGGATCTAAACTTAGAAGCTTCTGGGCCGTTACTATTTCTACATCAAAATCACTGGGAGAATCAAGCCGACCCAAGACACACTGGCGAAGGAAGTAGCACAACCACATGAAACAGAACTCTGGAGGCTGGAGAACGCCTCAAGGCGAGTGAGAGTCTGTATCTCCACTGCGATGCGAGAGAGCGGGTTTGCTCTCTCCGCTTCCCAACCAAGGAGCCTCCGACTGCTGCCTCAGTGTGACGACTGTGTGCACACAGGAACAGACACTGGGCGCTCAGCAGTGGGACGCCTGCTTGAGCTCGTGCTGGGGGGATGGCTCGCTCTTGCCTGGGAACGATTCTATCGTCTTTCAATCCCGTTTTCTTCCATGAGCTCTTTCAGAGCCCGCTCATACAACCTCAGCTCATGGAACAGAAGTCAGCAAGCAGCTGAAATTAAAACCAATGAAAAGGAAAACAGAGAAATGAAGCGCTCCTAAAACCAGGGCAGAACTCAGTGCTGCCTCACCTGTGAATGGTTTTTAAAAGGCAAGAAAGGGGGCCGAGGGGACCATCATCCAGCTTATGAGTCACTTCAATGACTTGCCAGCTGTTTTTCGTAAGATTGTTGCTCTAATACATTAGGTCAGGACATCAATCGAGGGGCTGTTCCTACCATTAAACACACGCAGCAACAAAAAGCCCCAACAAAGTCAGGTAGATTAGAAAAGAAATAAAAAGTACTGTTTCGTGAAACTTTTGTTTCAAATGTTATGGGCACATATGGAAATACATCATGCTATAAAATGTATTTCTTAGTGAATTCAAGGTAAAAAAGGTTTGAAAACGGAATATGACAGATGCTTGAATAAACGGGAGCAGGGCAAATAGATCACAGAAAGACCCTGTGAAGAGTGAACAGTTGTGAAGTGTGAAATTCTCAGGGGTGCACTGAGTAGTCCTCAGGACAAACAGGAAGACTGTCAGAGTTACCCAAGACCCTTCAACTGTGTAGCTGGGAAGTACGGGCTCACAGGGTGCAGCCAGAGGAAACCCAGTATTCCTTAAAACTGAGCTGATGCATCTAAAGCACAATAAAATGTTAAAAATATATAAACTAAGAACTTCTTACAAATCACAGCTAAGAGAGGTGAGGTGAAGTAAAACTTTTGGAAGCAGCCAGTGGTGATGGTGGCAAACCCCAAACCAAACTCCCTGCCGCCGCCGAGCCTATGGCAACTCACAGCGATCCCACGGGTGCCACAGGGGCACAACTGCCCGGTGCGTTTCGGAGACTGCACCTCTACACTGGAGGAGCAGAGAGCCGCGCCTTTCTGCCACAGAGCGGCTGGTGGTTTTGAACTGCTGGCCTTGCGGTTAGCAGCCCAACACACAATGGCTATTCTACCACGGTGACTGTACTGAATGTCACCACACTGTATCATCAAAAAGGCAAATGCTTTCTTCCGTAGACCTTACTGCTATCCACATTTCCTTCCTGGCTGCTCGAGGACTGACTGCCGTCATGAAGGACACGACTCTCTGGACCCAAAGCTCATGGCCAACTGACTCCTTGAGCAGCAGCGTGTCGCTCACGTCCTTCCTGCGGCGGCGGCGGCGGCGCCGCTGTGGAAACACCAGGCCGGCCCGTGCTGCCCTGGCAGCAGCTCCCGGGTGAGCTAGGCGGCGGCGGCGGCGGCCCCACCCAAGACTGCGCTGCAGGAAGGAAAGGCCAACACATGCCGACCACCCCAGAGGTCACCTCCGGGTCTAGTCAGACCCCCTTTAGCAGTGGCCAGACTACTAGCTGTGGTATGGTTTGCCAGAGATATGAAGCCAAACACAGGCTTTCAAGAAAGGCCCTGTATGAGAAGAATCAGAAAACAGCCAAAGGAACCGAGATCAGAATGAGCACCGTTGGGGGCCTGCAAAGGTCCTGCGGTGCCCTCAGTAAAGACCCGGCAGTCACTTGATCTGATCTGTACAAGGAGGCTTCAAATAGTTTGTGGAAAATGGAATTTAAAAATCACAGTTTTCCAACAAACTTTCTGAAGCCCCCTCACATGACTTTTCACCAGAGGATCCTTCAATTATAAAAACGGAATGCTTTTCAAAATGAAACCAAGCTGGAGAAGATGCCGGCTTGTACACAGGGCCCTCTACTAAAATGTATCAAGATAAAAGAAATCTGAACTCTGGAAGGAAATGAGGTAATAGTTTCGGCTTCTAGAATGTCCCGGGCTGTTACCGCAACCAGAGGATCCGTTCATTAACTGGGAGACTGCATCTCCTAGAATGGAGGTAGTTGAAGAGGTTTAAGGAGAAAGCATTCTCCCAGTCCGGCCAAATAGCCCTATCTTCCTGGCCCAGCTAATCCAGGGGAGGGACTCTATTCCAAGCACGACTGCCTTCTTTGAATCCTACCCCAGCAGAGTCACAGCCTTTGCTGATCCCCATTGGGCCCAGTCAAATAACCCAGTCCCAGCTCCTTGCCCAGTAGGCAAGGAAGTCCAGGACAAGCAAGGAGTTCTCCCCCAGTGGGGCTGTGAATACTAAGCAGGCAGTGTGATCTCTCGGGAGATGTCATAAGAATCTCTGTTCTCTTGGGGAGTTTGCTTCAAGAGAGACGCAGAGATTCCTTAAAGGACTGGCCATCCATATTTCCTTACACTGGGCCACTGAGGTCTTCCCATTCCTCAATTCCTTACAAAGCAGGCGCCCCAAGGAAGCACGCCTGGCAGCCTGACGGCGAGGGAAGGGAAGGGAAGGCCCCAGCAGTCTTTGGTTGGTCTCAACTCTAATAACATTCACTTCCCACTGTCTTGGCATTCCTTTTAAAAAGGACAACCCTAGCAACTCCGTTTTTCTAAGGAATGAAGAATTTCTAAGCCTGCTCATAATGATTCTATAAAAGCATCTCATGAGGCAAGTATCCCATTCTTTCGGCTTTAGGAAGGGGGACGGGGCAGCAAGGTGGCACACTGTTCAGGCCCCAGCAGCACTACAGCCAAGGCAGAGGAAGGTGTTCTATGCCCCTGGTTGGTTTTCTCTTATTTCCCCACAAATAAAGTTTTATTAAAACATGGTTGTGTTCATCCATTTACATACTGTTTATGGCTGAGCTCATGCTACAAAGGCAAAGTGGAGTTTTTCCAACAGAGCATGAATAGTCTACATGACCTAAAAAAAAAAAAGTTCATTCTCTGCCCCTTACAGAAAAAGTTGGTCAATGACGGCTCTCACGTATGAGTACAAAGTTTTGGTATATTGAAGTCAAATTGTAAAGAACTTTAAATATTATTTGAATTAATTTTAACTTTATCTCTTGGTAACTGGTGAATACTAATGGTGAAGGGTTTATGATACAAATAACTTTGGTGAGTATATACTTCAGCAATAAGAAGCCCTGGTGACATAGTGGTTCCCAGTTGGGCTGCTAACCACAAGGTCAGCAGTTCAAAACCACCAGCCGCTGTGCAGGAGAAAGATGAGGCTTTCTACTCCAGTAAAGTGTTACAGCTCAGAAACCCACAGGGGCAGTTCTACAGGGCTGTCTTACAGGGCTGCTATGAGTTGGAACCAGCTTGATGCTTGTGAGGTTGTTTTTGTGTTTCTTTATATCGTTCATCAAGCTAATGCAAAATTTTCATGACCATGGTCAGTCGGTACCTAAAATGTGTCTCCAGATCCTACAGATCATTAAGAGGTAGTTCAGCTAATCCCAGGGCTGATAGGTCATAGAGGGAAAAAGAAAACTATGTTTAGAAAGTGACGCTTTACAAGGACAATTCCTGAGAAGTGCCGTGTGTACAAATGGCCCTGGTACAAAGGGTAGAAATCCATTGTTGTCCGGCCGCTGGCTGTGTGCCGACCCCTCGGTTATGTTCTTTTAGCTGGACAGACTCGAGCTCAGAGCCCAGAGAGGGCTTCTCTCAGTTACGGTCTGAGAAAACCCAGCGAGGAGGGCCGTGCAAGGTGAGACTGGTACCTGTAAGAGAGCGTGGTGCATGGTCACCTCCAGTTCAGCTACAACGTGGGCGGCGTCCTCACTGTCCTCTTGGACCTCCAGGTCCTCCTCCGGGATGGTCTCCCAGTTGCCCTGGTGAGCAACCAGAGTGTGCACTAGTTCATACTGGCCAGGGAGTGCCAGGCTGACCCGAGTCTGTGTCCCATAGGTGAAGCGGAGGCGCCGAAGCTTACAGCTCTCCTCATTGCCCAGCTTGGTGGTCGGAAGCACCTGCGCCCCCAAGAGCAGGTTCAGTAGCTGGCACTTGACCTTACAGTCCTGGCCGAGGATCAAGATGCAGGGGGGACAGTCCACAATCTGCTGGAGGTACTTCTCTTCCGTGGGAGGGAAGGAAATGCAGCTCAGCGGGCCTGAGGCAGGGGGTGGGAAAGGAAGAAGTACAGAGAGAAGAGTGAGGAGGGGTGGACACACACACACACACACACACACACACAGTCCCCGTTAGGAGCTGGGACCCTCGAGGGGGTCTTCCAGGAAACTCTTGGTCGAAGGAAATACAGGCAAACATCCCAGTCAGAAAAGGCTCTTCAAATATCACACAAAATTCCCCTGGAGCTGTTGTTGCTACCAGCTGTGCCACAGGAAAAAGCTGAGGCAGTCAGCAACCTTGGAAAGGCTCGGGCTGGTCTGTGCTGCCCTGCGGGCTGCTACGGGTCAGAGCTGATGTGATGGCTATGTCCTGTGGCACAGCTGGTGAGTTCGAACCACCAACCTTCTGGCTGAGTGCTTGGCCACTGTGCCGCCATGACGGCTCCCTGAAAAGATGCACTCACCTTATTTTCACTGAGTGGGGAGACAGCCTATGGGGTTTTAAAAGATTCCATCGCAAGCATGAGACCATGAAAATGACAGAGCCAGAAAAAAACTTGACAGTAACTCAGCCAGCCATCCAAGGAAAAAATCATGCCTAAACATGGCGAAACGAACTGTCCTTCCAAGAGAAAGCCTAACACGTGGACGTGTCTGCGGCCCTTTAAAATGTCCCTGCCACATGCCGTTGTAGCCGGTTCCTTTCCTCCCACACATCTCATCACTAAGTGTAAAGGAGCGACCTCTTTAAATGACCAGGTAGCACGCTTGCAGGTGCTCTCGACTTTTTCCCAGGCCATCTGTATCAGTCTAGGTACTTTGGAGAAACAAATCCACGGCGACTCACGTATAAGAGAGCGTTTTATGCAAAGAAAATGTGCATCACGAAAACATCCCAACCCAATGCTGCCCAAGCCCACAAGTCCAACATTAACCCAACACCAGTCCACAAAGTCCTCCACCTAACAAAACAGAGGCAATGATGCCGACTGCAGGAGGAAAGCTGAGTCCGTGAACGTGTAAGCATCTCAGCACTGGCAAGGGTCTCCACATGGCTGCTCCAGCACCCAGGGCTGCATCGGGATAGATCCATGCGGCTTTTCCTTGGGGATGTCTTGTAGGAAATCCATCTTGCAAGCTGAAGCAGGGAACTGCTAAGGCAGCTGCACCCGATGCAACCATCACAAAACAAGAGACCCGAGAACTAGAAAGGCGAGGCTTCACCACCCATTTATCCCTCCACCTTTCAACCAGCACCACATGTGATTATCGGCCAGGCTGGCACAATTAACTAACTCACCATCTCCTGGGAAAGAGTGAGTGACAGCTTCCCAGCTGCCAGGGCATCTGTTTTCCTAAACATCAGGTGCTCCGTGAAGATCAATCCCTCCCACTCAGATCCCATTCCTTCTGGCGATGCATGAGTAGCCCGAGTAAGACCCGGGAAAGCCCTGCCTGCGGAGAACAAATGCAGGCAAGGCTAGGAAGAGATGCAGTCTGTGGCAGTTAGCGTTCATGTCGACTTGAATTCGCATGAAACCGTAGAGGTGCAGTCCAACCCTAGCAGTCAGGTCACAGCCTGCTGCCTCCTGGAAGGCATGGCCTTTTTATGAGACACGGGGGCCACCTCCTCTCTTCCTCTCTGCCCCTGCACCTTCCTGCTTGCTGGGACTCTGTGCCTGCCTCAGGCCCATGTGGGTCACCCAACCCTGAGAGTTGTCGGTGCCCGGCCACATTCCTACTGACCCTGGATCCACAGGGCTCTGCACCCACCGGCCTGTGAGCTCCCTGCTTCTGCTTCACCTTTCCACAAGATCAGCCTGCAGCTATGGGAGTCTGGCGAGGGCTCTGGCTAGCACGGGACCCATAGACTGAAGTTGGACTGGGCTGAGATGCCTTCCTGATGTAAGATTACTTCTCGATATAAGGCTCTTTCCTATCTATATGGTCACTGATTTTGTTTCTCTAGACAACCCAGCTTACTATAGACAATATATAGACAAAATCTATATTAAAAGTCTTCTTTGAGGACAACCTCCCTTAATCTAACCAGCTAGCTCCCCAAACTGATTCCGATGGCATTCTGGGGGAGAACAAAGCACTTCCTAAGCGATGAGAACCTCTCTGCCAAGGGAAGCAGCCAGCAGGTAGCTCCCTGAAGCCCTCCAGTTCTAGGCTAGGCCTTTCTCCTCTTCAGAACCCGTGGAGCCCTAGCAGCATAGCGAGGGAAGGGTGGCCCTACAAACCCACCCGATGTTCTGAGGAAGAAAGGTGAGGTTGTCTGCTCGTGTAAAGATTTACCAGCAAAAAAAAAAAAGATTTACCAGCTTGCAAACCCTGTACAAGGTCACTATGCATTGGCTCTGTGGCAGCAGATTTGGGTTTGGTTTTGGGTTCAGGACTGGTGCTTATATGCCTATGATTCAGACTCATGGTCCTTAGGCTGTATGAAGGTCAGTGTATGCACAAAACACACCCACTGTGATTGAAATTTTGGGCAGCACCAAATGAAATGGTATTTGCTATAGTCACTGAACTATGAGCTGCATTAAAACATCTGTAACCTGACCCACCAAGCCTTGAGAACGGATATCCCTGCTCAGAGCAGCCAATGCACAGAGAGGACCATATGGCCGGCCCCACTACGAGACATAACATCCCTCACTGACCCATAGTCCTACAGGGGACAACACTGGAGACACAGTGTGGGAACTGCGCCTGATCTGACCCCACCACACCAAGGAAAACACTAAGAGTGTGCAGGAGAACAGCAAAAGGAGCAGAGCAAGGAAGTCCCGAGGGAGTACCAAAAATAGACTTTGGGGCCAGGGCATGGCGCCCCATCAGACTCAACTGGAAAACACTCCTAAAGGTCAACAAACAGACCTTGAACTATTTACAGGCTTTTCTTTTTGGTTGGTCATTGTTTTTGTTGTTGTTGTTGTTTTGTTCTATTGCTTTGTTTTGCTCTGTCTTGTTTTTGTGCATGTTATTATCTCTGCAGGTCTATCTAGATAAGATAGGCTGGATAAACAATCTAGAGAAGAAAACAATGGGACCGATGGTTTCAGAGGGACATGGGAG